AGAAATCTGCAGGGAGTCTTTTTCCACAGCATGTAAGAAATCCTTACAAAACGTTTTTATTTTTAATCTGGGGCATTTTAGAGTCTAATATGAGATTGTGGTTTAGGGAAGGTCATTCGGTGGGTAAAGCACTAGTTGCTGTGGCCACTAATGCGAATGTTCATTTCAGCCTCGATCCTGGTCAGATCCCCTCATCAAGGCCAGCTTCTTAGCTTGCAGAAAGTGACACTTTATTGACTGCCCATCGACCGCTTAGCTGCTGGAGATGTTTTTTTTTTCTGTCTCTTTCTCTCTGTCCCTTTGTGTTTTTGTCTCTCTCGGTCTCTGTTTATGTCTCTCATCATTCATCTGTTTTTGAACGCTCTCCGTCATTGTCATGTTTACTTTGTTGTTTTGTTTCTTTCATTCTTTCTCCGTGCTACATACCACAAACGCCATTTGATGTTTTCCTCACATTTCTCATCATCCTCAACTCTTCATCTCTTTTCCTTCCCCTGCACTCTTCTTCCATTATATATGTGAGAGCGGCTCCATCACGAGTGTTATTATGGGTGACATCAGGGGCAGATCATAGTCAGAGCCGGAGATAAGCACACGTGTTAGTTTGTGTGTGAATGTAAGAAGCTCTGAACCTCGCAGCACTTCTCGTGGGAGAATAATGGAGAGCTTTAGAAACGGTACAGCTGTATCAAATGCTAGTGAAATGGTGCTTATGTATTGGGTGTACATCTAATGGACAGTATATGTGATTCTTTCTGAGTGGTATGTTAAATGTATGTGTGTTTATTTTACAAGGTTGACCCACGGTTGCAGTGTAATGACCCAGAGTGAAACTGATTCGTAGATCGTCTGCTGGGTCTTTTAGCTCTCAATGGAAGACTTTCAGCGAGCAGCACTTAATCTGGTCAAAGCTGGAAAAAATGAAGTTTTAAGCCCTAATTCCTTTCCTAATTCTTCTTCCCTAATCCCTCGAAGAAGGGCAGCCCGTTTCGGGCCTCCTTTCCTGAATTTCACACATTGGCTCTTACTTCTCTTGCCAATTCAAACCCTCATCTGGCTTTCAAAGCGCTCTCCAAAAGCTGTCAAGCAGTGGAAGAAAAGGGCCTCGGGAGCACTCCACAAAATTAGACACCTTCGCTCTGCGCCACCGTCATCAGCGGATTGATGTAATTACATGCGCAAATGGGTCATTGGCAAGGTCTTCTATGCTGTCAGGTGTGGATTGAAGAGGCAAAGTGCCAAAGGGGTTTTACGACATGCATTTCCCAATGGCACTGGGACACTCAAACAGCCTTATTTGTGTGAAGTAGGCTTTAATGGACCCAGTGTGGTGAAGGCTTAGTTGATGACCACATTATTAGAGCATTGAGAGCCTTGTACCATATTTATGGGACAAGTTTGCAGGTCATATGTCAAAATATACATCCTTACAAAATGTTTAGACATTTATTACATTTTTAAGGATTTTTAACATACATGTTAGAGTATTCAACTACAAAATCCTCCATCAAAAATATGAGTTGTCAAGTCCTCAGAAAGTAAAATATTAAGTTACCAACAATGGTATTAAAAAATATTCTTTTGGATTGAGCTCTAGTAGATTGCTAAAGCACATCCCTAATTTTGTGGCACAAACACTTTGTGACAAACAGTGCACCATATAAAAATCCATAAGCAATGTGTTGAAACAGAACACCCATAGCGTCATTCCATAAATTTAGAAATCATTGCCAGGAAAAAAAAAAGTCACATTACTGCAATACAAAAGGAGGAACAAGGCAATTTTCATCACTCTGGAGATTCTCTTGAGAAAGTAAGATGATTTTGTGGCTCATGCGTAAAACTTAAATGTCACATTCACCATGTACTGTAGAAGCGGCATCATTAGCTCGTGGAGATCAGTGGAAATCCAAAGATCCTCTTTCAGGCTATCATCTTTCCGCTGTAAGCATTATGCTTCCTACATTCACTATTGATTCAAAGATGTAATGTGTCCTCTCCATCTGTGGAGATTCACTTGACCTTTGTGTCCCTTAAGAGCTCAGCGTGTTCTTGTGTGGTGGCATCTCTTCTGGGAGTTATGGATGCAGGCTTTTATTTCATTACATGTTGGTTTTTTTTATTGTAGACTAATACAACATTGCATTATAGTAACATTGTATCTTCAAAATGCAAAATAATATACATTATATAATTTGACCTTTTAGAGTCCAGGGAGAGCTTTCTCATTATTCTCTTTGTTTACGCAACTGTTTAACTGTGATGTTCAAAACCCCTTCCATTTCACAAATTGTGTGTGTGTGTGTTAATCTGAGCTGCTTTTCACTAGATGACCCTGGAGTTACAGCATCATCCATCCGTCCATTCAGTCATTGTGTGCATTGCGATAAATACCACTCAAAAGAATCAAGTGGAATTAATTTCCATCTCATGCTTATATATGAAACAAAACAATTTATTTCGTGCAAATGGGGTAAAAAGTAATGTACTCAGTAGAACAATCATATTTATAAGTAAAGCTAAGTTAGATAATATCTGTTAGATACAGCTGTGTGCAATTAGTGCTGTGTGCAATCAGTGCAATGAATGATGGGATATGTAGTCCGGGGTGATATGCAACAGTGTGTAGTGCGAGAGTCAATGAAAATGGAAAGGGTGACCTCTGATGGCTAGCAGACGGAAGTTCATGGACCGGATACGTAACAATAGGACTCTTGAGGTTTTCAAAGAATTTGTCTTTTTAATACTCAATTATGCACTAAAAATAAACATAAAATAAGAATTGATAATGGGGTTAGAAAGCATTTATTTGTCTGTTTATGGTTTTGATCTTATGTTTTTTTGTTGATGTTTATGATTTGTTTACAGGGTTTTTTTTTTTTGGGAAAAAAAATCTAATCAGGACGTTTAGAAGGTGTGTGTACCCATGTCATCGCTATTTAACACCCGATGACTCACACGATCTATGCGTTGTTTGTTTGGGCGAAGAGCACAGTGAATGATGTGTGCTACCGGCGCCTATTTTATAGTCGCACCGGTAGTGACGTCATGGCTGTCGCCGGCCAACGAGTTGGTGTTATTTCAATGTATGCTTCAGACACGGGTCACGACGAGGCGTTCCCCATAGCGACCCCTAGAGGACGCAGTGTCTCGTTCCCCTCAGGGAACCATGGTTACATACGTAACCTGAGACGTTTTTCTTGTGCTTTTTCACACACTACGTGGAAAACAAGTTATTCTGGAACACAAAATGTATAAATTTGTTCCAGTGATTTAGCTAAAACTAGGAAACAATTTTTTTTTATATAGTTAAAAAATATATATAGTTATTATTATATATTATATATAGTTAAGAAAATATTTTCTATCTAGTCTCTTGGTGCTATTTTCACTTCACATGTGATCTCAGTTCATATACAGCTTCTCTGACCCAGACTGGAATGCTACGCTCATTCTTGCTACATATTTGTTGTGAAGGTCAGTTTCCATACACTGTGCAGGAGATGGGTGGCTTCATTCATCATCTGTCTGACAGCCCATGTTGTGCCCTAAATCCACCCCCACCTTTCTCCTTAGTTTCTGCACAAGTAGGTTTGTCCCATTAAGAGCCATTTTCTTGGACACTCACCATCTGTCTTCTGTTCATTTAAGTATCTCCTTTCCTTCCATTTACAGCAAAACCTATTCCTCTGCTCAGTGTGTGCTCAGATTGCTACATTTGAATGTTTCATAACCTTAAATGTCTTTGCGTTACACATGAAAAGGACTTTAAAGATTCTTCATTAACAACAACAACAAAAGACTTTAGATTTCTGTAGACATCCACAAAAACCAGATATATTAAATCAATCATTGACCTTGGGTTTTCGATATTTACAAACAGGGTCAGAAGCAGGATCTTTTTGGCAGCGGTTGCAGATGAAAAAAGAGGGGGTTGGTGATCGACTGTGTTTCTGGTCAGGGAAAATCGATTCAGAGGGTCCGTCTAACCGGGAGATGGAGATAACTGTTAGTGCCCCTTCCCTCCGACACGTTTCTCATTTCCACACCCAACGAGACACAACAGTTGATTCTGTAACTGTTTTCATTTTGACGCTAAATTACTAATTTAGAATCATTTTCACTGGCGGAGCACTATAGCTGGCACTATTGTGTTTAAGATGCAAGTTACTTAATATTAGCTTTTTTAATATTATGCTGTTAATATTGACAGATCATTAAACTATTGTATAAAAGCAGTTGTACTGTTGGTCTAAATATTCAGGACAACAGCATTCTCATGTGATATTGTTAAATTAAAACAGTTTGGCATTCAAAAACACTGAGATTCATTTCATTTTTGATTCATGAAAGGACACGGTGTCAGTGCAAAGTTTGCATTTGTTTTTGTCATCTACACCAAAATTTAAAAAAGAAAGAATCAATAGAGCAGAACAGTGACTAAAAACACCTGTGACTTAAACATTGTTCTTTGCACTGAAGTGTAGTATATTTGATTTGTTCTTGTTCTATCTTTTCTTACTTTTATCTGCCTGCCTTTCTTTTCGGTCTAAGTTTTAAAAATAGCACCTCATAATGGAGGGTCAGGATCTAAAGGGGAATGATGATCCTCCTCCGAGGAGACATAATTTAAATTCCATGGTGTACGGGATTGCTTTTCCCCGTCCACTGATGAGGGCAGATATGCGATAGCGAGGGGCTTTAAGCTTCGGCTCCTGGGAAGCCTCTATCGCCGGGGAGCAGGAGCGGCAAATCAGAAATCATCATGATGAAATGAGGGGCGAGGCTGAGGAAAGATCAGTGGGGGATTTGAACTTCTCATGAGAGCCAGAGACAAAGACTGAATGAGAATTATGTCTGTCCTCTGTGTCTCCATCTATTTATGAATGTTTGTGTGGGAGAAAGAGACGGACTGTGATTGCCTGCTCATCTTGACCTAAGTAATATTTGTCAGACCTTTGGTAGCTTATGCTGTCTTGTCTCGTCTTTATGTATCCAAGCAGGGAACGAGGGTTCGGCGGAGAATGGACAGAAGGAGACGTCCACCTGTGACATTTGCCAGTTTGGGGCCGAGTGTGATGTGGATGCTGAAGATGTTTGGTAAGCACAAAAACAGCCTGTAGGAGAACTAATATCACAAGAACAGAATTAAACAAGTACGATACCATAATTTTTTTGTGAATTTAAATACAACTTGTTGTTTTAAAGGGACAGTTCACCCAAAAATGAATATTGTCATTATTTTCTCACCCACATGTCGTTCCAGACCTGTATGACTTTATTTCTTGGCAAAACACTAAAGTAGTTATTTTTAAGAGAGGTCACACTGCTTTATTTCATACATTGAAAGTGGATGGGGACAAAAAAAGGACAAAAATGCATGATAAAAGCACTCTGTGTACTATATACCAAGTGCTCTGGAGCCGTATTAAATTTGAGAAACTGAACTGAAAGTCATTATTCATAAAATTCTTGCCTTGAAAATCTTCCTTGATAGTCATGGTCTTTATTTCTCATTAGTGTCGGCAAGTCTCTTATGTTCACCAAGCCTGCATTTATTTGATCAAAAATACATTATAAACAGTTATTTTAAAAAAACAGTACTATTGTGAAATATTATTACAATTTAAAATAACTGTTTTCTATTTGAATATGTGTTTTAAAATTTATTTCTGTGATGGCAAAGCTGCATATTCAGCAGCCATTACTTCAGTTTTCAGTGTTACATGATCCTTCAGAAATCACTTGGTGCTCAAGGAACATTTATAATATTTTTGTAGAAACCGTGATACAGGTTTTCAGGATTCTTTGATGAAAAACAGCATTTGTTTGAAATTGAAGTATTTTTAACATTATACATGTCTTGACTGTCACTTTTGGTCAATTTAAATCATCCTTGTGGAATAAAAATATTAATTTCTTTAAAAAAAAAAATCCAGTGTCTAAACTTTTGAACTTTTTTTTTTTCCAGTTAACTGTTCCTTTGATGTGAATACTTTCTCTGGTCAGTAACAGACAGATTGTTTTAGATTGATTGGTGCTGTCAGTAGCAGGATATGGAATATGGGACACTGGGTCAATATGGGATATTTCACATACTTCGAAGAATCTCAGTTCTTTTAATATGAACTTTAAGAACTTGCCCAAAATAAATGAGCAAGAAACAAGGCCAATTATGACAGTTTCATCATTGCTGATAAATGGCCGCTTGGCTTCGGCGCTCCAGCAATGAGAACTCATTAATATTCAATACAAAATAAGCAGAAAACCTCAACATCCACTATGTTCTTCTAACAACATCTTCATGCTATATTCAGTAAGAAACGGTTATCATTTCTAGAGAATCTGTTTGAGTTGTAAACATGTGAAAAAATCATGACTCATATGATATATTTAAAATCTACCCGTGGATGTGGAAAGGAGGTTTTCGTTGCCCTGGGCGTCAGTGAACAGCTCAAACTGCCAGCAAGAGTGAAGGAGACTACCCTTTAATCTTAATAGAAGAAGGCCTCTCTTCCTCCCTTCTGCTTATCTCTCTCAGGGTGTCTGAAGGGAATTACATGTCGGCCTTGGCAAAGACAGCCTGTAGATTCACTAAAGATTCAGCAAGCACTGGCTGGAGAGCCGGGGTGTTTGAGGCATCAGAATGAAACAGCCCAGCCTCTCCCTCCTCAGAGATATCAGCACAATTTGAGGCATTTATGCCTGAGTCGTAGAGATGGTCCCATGACAGGACCCGCTCTGATACACTTGACTGCAGATGACTCACTCACCTCACTGTTCCTCTACCAAAAACACTCTACCTCTCTCAGCAGCCCTTCTTTTTTTAGTCTCGCTCCATTTTACCATCTTCCTGCGTCATTTGAAAGGATTACTGAAAAAAATGAGATGAGCGATTATAAATAAAATCAATGCTATAAGCTGCATTAATAACATGTCTGTGTGTGTTTGTGCACTGATTGTGTGTAGTGACAAGCACCGGATTTGTTTGGCTGTTGTTTAGGGCCCTAGTCACTGATTGTGTTTAATAGAGAGAGTAGAAGAAGATAGAAGTAATATTGATTTCAGTAAATTCGCTAAAATAGGACGCATACAATACCTTGCACACACAAATATTGTGTAGTATAATCTGTTTCAATTACACTGAACTATTTTCAATTATATTTTTAACATGGAATGAACTGTTTATTTACTTTTACTTTACTTTTACTTTTAGTCATTTAGCAGATGCTTTTATCCAAAGCGACTTACAAATAAGAAAAAGTAATTAAAGCTAAAACTCTATAAATACTATATATACACACATTTAAAAAAATAAAAGAAATTAAATTCTTGCCGGTGTCCCTGCTCGGTGGAGTCGAACGGTAGAGTCAATGGTCTTTACACTCTTCGGTCTTCACACGACCGCTTCCGCGGTAAACTACGTTTCTTTTTTATTCGTTTAACAAAACTCAAATTGAATTGAGCTGGACACACGTTCCTGTTTATCACAACAAATGGCCAAGCAAAGCGTATGACACTGACAAGGTACGCTATACAGTACGAGACCAAACGCGATTTCAGCAC